GCTGCTTTTATAAATGTAAACAAGCAAGCAAAAGACAGTCCCTACTTTCTAGCAGCTTACTTTTTCATGGGAGAAGATAATACCCAAAAGGGAGCTGAAAAACGGAAGAGGGAAGCATAAGGGCAGAGGCCTCTTGAGGGTGAGAAGGCTGTTGGAGAAGTCCAGGGAGTCAGGAGGGGAGCCAGAAGAAAAAGAGAATGCTTTCTATAACAACATTGAAAAGCAGGGAGTATAAGTATTAATACTGTCCTCATTTTACAAAAGACAGAGCCGGGACTTAGAAGATGAAGTCACTTATTCAGAGTCACATAACTAATAAGCATCAGAGCTCTAGATTTGGGTCCAAATCCTGACTCTGATGCTTATTAATTGTGTGCCCATGGGCTCTACAGCCTGCTACCTCTAGGTTCTGACTTTAAAGACTGGTTTTCAACTACTGTACGATAATTGTAATGTCAAAACCTCCCCAAGTATAACTTTTTGGAGATGAAATTATATCAAATATTTCTTTGATAATTATTGCGGAAAGAAAATAAATGGAAATATGTGAACTACTCAGGTATGTCTTGAAATGTTCGAGAGTTCATCTTACTGACATTCTCTTTTAATCTGAGAGGAAATGAATTACCTTGTAGGCAATTTGGATTTTTTTTTTAAGTGCCATGTGTAGAAGACTCTTATTCAGGAATCCATAATTCGTTATAGAAGAGATAGCAAAGAGCTCTTTAGTATATGATTCTAAAACTGTTTATTTGTCTTACCACTAGATGGCGCAGACTTACTGGGGAGTTCCTAAAGGTTCTCAAATACCATGTTTGTTTTCTTCACTTTTTCAGTTGTTGGTGAAGTATTTCTGATAGTCTTTCCAAACTGGTATTTCTCAAAGAAATGACTTGACTTAAAGTTCCCAGTGTTTTATCAGGTGTTTAATTTTGAATGTTCTGTATTATATTCTTTTTGATTATCACTTTAGTATTAAAATGCCCTAAACTTGTAGGGAGGGACAGCTAAGTGACAAGGGGCAGCTCATCTTCCTGAGTTCAAATCTAGCCTACTAAGTGTGTGACCTGGACAAATCACTTAACCCTGTTGGCCTCACTTTCCTCATCTATCAGATGAGCTGGAGAAGGAAACGGCAAACCGTTCCGGTATCTTTGCCAACCAAAGCTCAAATGCGGTCATGATGAGTTGGACCCAGCTGAGATGACTGAACAACAAACTTGTAAGGGCCAATTTTGTTTGAAAAAATGTGAGTTGTTATTGGTATCATGAGTAGCAATAGGCTCCTCCTGCTTTTCTCTTCCCTCCTTAATCCCCTCCTGCTCTCCCATTAGATAGGGAGCTCCTTGAGAGCAGGCATTGCTTTTTGCCTTTCTTTGTATCCCCAGTTTAGCACAGTTCCTGGCACAAAGTAGGTGCCTAATAAATGCTTGTTAACCCACTGACTCCATCTCTTCTCCTCCTCTCATTTTCTTTCTCCTTTTCTGTTCCAGAAAAATATCTACAGCCTGTACTTTTTTCCAACCTGTACTTGATATTATTCATTCTATTCCAGAAACAGAAATGTATTCTTTTTGACTCTGTGAAAGATTACAAATGTAATAGCACCCAGATTACGAAACACTTTCCTCAAACCACCCCTACAAAATCAGTAGCAAAAAGATTATCCATATTTTACAAATGAAAATATGAAGATTCAGAGAAGTTCAGTGACTTGGTCAAGGTCACTGAGCTAAGAAGCAAGCCGCAGCCCTCTGACTCCAAAGCAGGTGCTCTTTCCCCTTCTGCCGCACTCCCCTTCACATTGCAAAGATGTAGAGTTCTACATTTGGCCATGAGTGTCACTTAATTCCTGAATGAAGGGAGGTCAGCCTTTCGGGATTTGTTATGAGTGTTTGGGAGCAAACTCAAGCTGGCCTCAAGTAAAAGACAGAGTGGTAGAGATGGGGTGGCCCGAGGTTGAAATCTTTTTGTTTGAGGGGCCTGTGACAGAATTAGATGGTTCAGCTTAATTATCTCCTACCAAGTGTACAAAGCCAGAGCTAAGAAAGATGCCTGATCTTTGGTCTCCTAAATAACTAGTTTAAAAGAACAAAATGAAGAGTTTTAAATATCCTTTTTGTCAGGGGGCCAGGACTTTGCTGGAACAACAATTCCACCCACACAGGTCTTGATGCTTGGGCCTCAGCCTCCAGCAGTATTTTGACCCTTCCCTTCTTGAGCCTTAGCAGAGCCTGAAACATGTGTGCGTGATGGGAAGGTGAGTCAGTGTTTATCTCCAGCCTCAGAAAACTGCAGGATGTGGTTGGCTAGTGTGGGGAGTTGTATACAGCAGAAAAGCTTAGGAAAGTCAGTTACTATTGCTCTGATAAGAGTCTGGGTTCCAGAACCGTGGTGGAGAGGGCCGGGGAGATATCTCATGACAGCTGCCTCTGGTGTCCTCTTGTAGTGCCACCTAGATGGGGAGCATGCGCTAAATACTCCTCCTCTCCCATGTACATCCGCAGGCCAAGCAGTCTCTGAAAGAGCTAATTCTATAAGAACATCAAGGCCCGAAGCCGGGGGTGAGCAGGGAGGGGGCAGGGTCTGAAGCCCAAGGAACCTTGGAGTGAAGCAAGATTCAAGAGCAAGTCAGGTCTCATGGAATAGCAGCAAGTAAGACCGAGGTGAACCTCACTGGCACTGACCAGTGTCAAGATTCTAATTATGAGCCAGGCTGTCTGGGGCAGAGCAGAGTGAGGCTCTGAGGACCTCTGAGAGGTCCAGGAATAGCTGAGGAGGCAGGATGCTGCGAGCACCTGTGCTCCCAACCACTTCCTCCTCTGTCTGTACAGGGGAGGCACAGAGTTGTTCTGAGAGCCTTTCTAGAGGGACTCATGGAAATCCTGCCTCCACGATCTTCAGAGTGAGAGCTCCTTCCCCACCATCACTGTGAGGGGCTTGGTAACTTTTCCCCAGGGGAGTGGGGTCTGTATGATTTCCACACACCCTTTATGACCTTGCCAAGCCCTGGTTTCCTCGGAAACCAGATTTCTCTCATCTAGAATGTGAGAGGGTCAGAGGTGACTTCTAAGGTTCCTTCCAGCACTAAATTTATGATTGTAAATGTCTTATCATTTGATTTGCGATCTTTGCCTGATCTGTTCTGCACAGAATGGGAACTTGAGTCAAGAAGGTAGTTTTCTTCCACCAGAGGCAGTAAGGAACAAGTGAAAAGAGTGTTGAATTTGAAGTCTGAGGACTTGGGTTTGAATCCTGGCTCTGGCCCTAGCTAGGATTCCTGTGTAGCCTTGGGCAAGTCCCCTCATCTGTGTTTGCCTCTGTGTGTCTTCGTCTGTAAATCAAAGGGTTGGAGAAGATGGCCTTTTAGTTCCCTTCCATCTCTACTCATATGAATCTGGGAAGCCATATCTAAAATGGAGCCTCTCATGGTGTCATGGGAGGCCCCTGTAACATTTTGCTAAAATTAATACTATTGATTCTGAATGTGATTTCATTCATACCCATATCTATTACTTGAAACTGAGAATATTTAATACAGTATATCGTATAGAATGAGGTAAGTGGGATTCTCATAGAAAACTGAGAGATTCTTAGATTGGCAGAATAATGTTATTTCCTTATTTCCCTCCAAATGAGTCAATCCTTTAAACCCAGGCCCTTGAACTCAACTTATACTTAGGATATACCTCTGAATTGATTATGGATGTGTGTGAGCATGTGATGTGTTCACTCCGATACTTAGCTATGTGTACATATACATGTGTGTATAAAGTATACATACCCATATCTAGGACGTTGATAAACTGGAATGCATCTAGAAGAAGGCTACAGGAATGGTGAGGGCTTCAGTATCAAGCCAGAAGAATTGATGGAAGGAGCTGTGGATGTTTAATCTTGATCAGAGAAGATAAGGGTGATATGCTAGGTCTTTGAAGTGTTTCAAAGGATGTCATGTAGGATTTGACTTATTCTGCTTGGACTCAGAAGGCAGAGCTAGGAGCAACAGGAAATCACAGAAAGATACATTTCAGCTTGATGCAAGGAAAAAGTTTCTGCATTTAGGTGCCCAATGGCAACACAGGTTGCCTTCAGGAGGTCATAGGTTCCTGGAAGATTAGATTCACAACTTGATGAGAAAGTTCTAGAAGGCTTTCCCATTCTAGTATAGGGTAAATTAGATGAAAATGTCCAAAAAGGCCCTTCCCATTCTGAGATTCTGTAATTAATTGTGTTTATGAATTATCATTACTATTCCTTCATGGAGGAGTAGGATTCCAATTACCTAATGTCCTTGAAGCAGAAATGTGATTTCCTTTAAGTAATCACCGTAAGGGATAAAAAGGTTAAAATATTAGTTTGCATTTTATAGTAGTTTTTGAGGGGAGAGAGAAACATAAACCCAAACATTTGAATGTTTTTAGTACGTTAACATTAAAAAATTTAAAAATCTTTAAAAAGTATACTTTACAATTTTTTTAAATTGCAGTTTAAAAATACATAACAATTAAGCTAATAAAACTTTGGGAAGAGTGACATAAGTTTTGCAGGCGTGTAATAAGGTCAAAATAATTCATATTATCCAGCTACAACTAAAGTAGAATGTGAAATTTCTTGTAATCATTTTTATCATAACTTTTTACCATTTAAGTCATTTTTCTGACTCTTGCAAATTTAATCAGTTATTTTAATATATATTCATTCTTTGTAGTATATCTTGAGTAGATCATATTTGTCTATAACCTCCTAAATTTGAGATGATTTCTGTTGTAGCATATGATCCTGATAACTTCAAATGTTAACATGAAAACTTTCCACAGATTTTGCTATATCTAAAAATGCTCTGTCAAATATAAACTGAATACAAAAATAGAAATCTAAAGTACAATGCATAAAATTAGATAGAATTTTAGACCAATATAGCTAAACAAATTAAAGTAATTCTGAAGCATTTAAGTTTTTTTTAAAAAGAATCTGATTCTATTTCTGAACTTTCACAGCCAGAAAAATGCAAATTTGATAAAAGATGGTATGAAAGTGCTCTACAAGAAGCGTACCTATTATATGCATTTTCTCATGAGCAAAGACTGGAGATGTGTCTTCTATCAAAAAAAGGTAAGGTCGGTTTTATTTCCAAAGTTAATATTGAGTCAAGAGACTTTGAGTCATAGGTCTCTGTGTATGTGTGTGCCTGGTTCTATCTATATACACTGACACATACATACAAACATATATATGTATGTGGATACATCTATATTGAATCATAAGCTGAATGAACAAAAAAAATGTTACATGGGATTATTTTTATCAAACATCTCTTTCCATTTGTTCTCGTTTAATATGTGCATGGGCACTCTTGTGGATCTCAGGATCATGTAGTTCAAAATTAAAAGCCATAGAATTAAAAATTTTTAAAAATCATCTATCTACCTATACTGTAAACTCAATGTTATTAGGGCTTGTTCTGCAGTATTTGTAAAGTAAATGTCTTCCAACATGCCAAGAGCAGTTGTATATCTTAAAAGGAAAGTCCAAGGCAATGTTGGAATCTTTTTTTTTTCTTAGTTGGATAGGGACATATTTTTAAGGGGTTATTTTTAGTGAAGATTCTCAGATTTCCGAAACAACACTGGCAGTTGTGATGTCATTGAGTGGGTGGTAATGCCACTTATTTTTTTCCCATCAAGTCAACATAGCCATTTTATTTCTCCTAAATATCCTTAATATTTTTGAGTCTCATGTTTGACACACTAATAAAGAGAGGTGGCTAGGGATAATTGCAGCCCAAGGGGTCACTGGAAAATATGCATTTATCCTACTCAGAATGTTGACTGTCATTTTTTAAAAGTCTGGATGCAGGCAATGTGTCACTCCCTTCTTTCTTTCTTTTATTTGATGTTGCCTTTCCACTTTGAGAGCTTCAGCACCCATTTATCCTAAAGCAAGCCCTGAAGCTATTAATCTCACCTTGAAATTTTTTTTCTTTTATCCCTAAAAGTGAAATGCCTTAATCCCCATAGACAACTTGGCTATACTTTCTACAGAAGGTGGCCTTTTCCAGAATTCAGAGAAGCTTTTCTTACTAGCTATCAAATAGTATTCTGTAGAAGGATTCAATTCCAATTTCTCTATGGTAGGTAAACACTATGCAAATATAGGGCAAGTCCTGGTAGAGCAAACTCCAAGGCTTGTTGGATTGGAGTGGTTAGAAGTTTCAAGGAAAGAGTTTCATGTACTCTTTAAAAAGTAGGGCTTTCCAGTTATAGATTGAACTACTTTAATAAAGAATTCTTAATGATCTTCATCATTATCATCATCATCATCACTTAGCATTTCTATGGTGCTTTAAGGTTTGCCAGCACTTTATGAATATGATCACATTTATCACTGGAAGTGTTCAAACAGAGACTGAGTAACAAAATCTAGGGTATATCATAGAGAGAACTCGTGCATTGGCTGAGAGGTTGGACGAGACAGCCTCTCTAAACTCCTTTCTAGCTCATAAGATTCCATGATTTTGTTGGATTAACCCTTTCTTAAAGTAAACTTCTCCTTAAACTGGATTTAGAAATCTTGTTATTGTATCAAAACTTTCACTAGGATGGTAGTTTTAAAAAGCATGTCTTGTATACCCTCACAAACCATCCCCACTGGGCATAGTAAGCACTTTGGATGCTTGTTGACTGACTCTCATCTTCTGTGAGTATACCCAGTGATGACCTTGACCAAGCTGGGGTTGAGGACAGGGAGTCAAATCCTTGCTGGGGTTGGGGGTAGAGGAGAAAGTGCATGCGCTAGATGAAACCTTCACTTACTGCTCTTATTGTTTCTTCTTTATGGGCATGTCCTAAGGGGGTTACTCCTTTTGCTACTACTACTACTTCTATTATGACTAATAGTAGCTGACTTTTATAGAATGTTTTAAGGTTTACAAAGTGCTTTAGAAATGTATCACTTTATCCTTACAACCCTGGGAGGAGGTAGGTATTATTATCCTTGTTTTACAAAGGGGGAAACTGAGGCATAAATGATTTGCCCTGGGTCACACAGCTAGTAAGAAAATGAGTCAGCATTCAAACTGAGGTTTATCCTGACTCCAAGACCAGCACTACATCCACTGGGCCACCTATCTACCTTGGCCTAGCAACTATGCCAGAAGCCATGTACATTTTCTATTCCTAGGCCACTCTTCTGTTAGTTTTCATCCTCAAGTAGCAGAATACTTCGGTATGTATTCTTATTATACTTCTAAAATGAAGCACAGCCATTTCAAGATCTCAGCCCTCACACTGATTTTTTCGGCATGATCTCCACTCTCACACAACTTCCCAAAACACACTTGTGGCTCCCAACCTCCACATTCATGTGAGAAGCTCCTTTACTCATGCCTCCAATACCTACTTTTCATTCTCTGTCATCCTACTCATCATTCTCAAGCTGACTTCCAGGTACCTCACTATCATATATATCTGTATCTATATCTATATCTATATCTATCTATCTATCTATCTATCTATCTATCTATCTATCTATCTATCTATCTATCTATCTATCTATCTATGTATCTATGTATCTATCTATCTATCTATCTATCTATCTATCTATCTATCTATCTATCTATCTATCTATCTATCTATGTATCTATCTATGTATCTATCTATGTATCTATCTATCTATCTATCTATCTATCTATGTATCTATCTATCTATCTATCTATCTATCTATCTATCTATCTATCTATCTATCTATATATGGGTACTCTGAGCACTTTCTTTAAAATAAATTTTTATTGACTTCTTTATTTTTATATTAAATGAGAACATATTAAAGTGCTTTACAAACTTTAAAGCCACATAAAAATTAGCTATCATTAGCTATTATTATTATTAGTTGTAATATATCACAAAACAGTAGTAGTATATCAATAGTATGTATATAGTGTAGTAGTAGTAGTAGTAGTAGTAAGGTATATGGGTTATTCAGGGAGGACTCTGAAAGACACAGTGATGCTGAAGATTTTGTGCAACTCTTCCTCACTTAAATCCAATTCACTTAAAAGCCAAGACATCACCCTGTGATGTCATTGGTCTTCTTCAAAACAAAGCATGAACAAGTAGTAGTAGTAGTAGTAGTAGAGTAGTAGTAGTAGTAGTAGTAGTAGTAGTAGTAGTAGTAGTGGTAGTAGTAGTAGTAGAAGAAGAAGAAGAAGAAGAAGAAGAAGGGGGAGGGCGAGGAGGAGGAGGAGAAGGAGAAGAAGAAGAAGATGATGATGATGATGATGATGATGATTACCTTGCCACTTGGCAAAGTAGGTGGGAGCTAGATTGTAGAAGAATATATAAAAATGCTATACTGACAATTTGTATTGTATCCTAAAGGCAATAGAGAACCTTTGAATGCTTTTGGGTAGGGGTCAGACCTGGGTTTTAAATATTAATTTGGAAGCTGTGTGGAGAATAGTAGGTAAGAGCTTAGAGCCTGGGAGGGTCAATAAGCTAGACTGGAGATAATGAACTAGAGGAGAGGCTTTGAGAGTTGGACAGAGGGGACAAATATGAGAGATATGATGGAAATTTGATTGGCAAAACTTGGCAACCAGTTTGCTATAGGAGTTGAGTGAGAGGGAAGAGTCATGTATTAGTGTAAGGTTCCAAACCTGGACCATGCCATCCAGACAATGGCAAAGTTTGGAGAGTTGATTTTGGGGGTCACCCCACCAAATATCCCTGAAAGAATTACAATCAAGTACTCCCCTTGGCAAGTAGGCAGCTCTGGTAAGAGGATAGACGTGGGCCAATTTGTGTCAGGGACAGAACTGGAGCTTACTTGAGCTTTCATGACTCCAAGGCCAGAGCTCTTTATGCCTCACTACGTCTCCAAAGCTCCAACATCCATATGGAGTCACCACTTTGAAATTGAGTCTGAGCTAGCCAGGCACTTCTGCAGGAACATCTGGGGAAGAAATCTTTCCACACAAGGAGTAAAACCTAACTCTCTTCCTCTTTCAGCTCCATACATTCAAAGTTCCCCAAACCTGAGTGGTGGGAATCATGCATCACGTCTGCCTGATATGAAGAATAGGAGGTCATGGAACCAAATGTGTGAATCCAGAACCTAGAGAGCATCACCTGAGATTTGTAAAACCCCAAAGCAATTTCATCCCTTTGATGATTTCTGTTGGGGACAAATGGTATTGCTAGAAAGAATCTAGAAAACATTGCTAGGGATTATGAAGTCAGTGTTGAAATTGAAGACAGTGGAAAGAGGGTAATATTTTTTCACTAATACTTACTAATTGAAGAAAAAAGTAGATTTGGTAAGTGAGTTGTTGATTGAGAAAATGGTATCTGAAAACAAAATTTGAATGACTGAACTATCTGTCACTTAAGATATAAAAATGGTCTAGGAAATCCTCCACTGGATGCTTCCTCTTCCGTGAACCCTCTCCCTTTTCTGCCACTCCCTCTCCAAGGCTGAAATACCTCTCTAATCAAGTGGTTCCCTTTAGAAGTCTGCATGGATAAGCAGTTTCCTTACCCACCTCAGGAACCTCAAGTCTTCTCAACCTTGCAGGGTCTCTGTCTGTGTTCAGCCATGAGCTGTTTTCTGTTTCCCATTAAAGGACAGGTCCAAAGGCATAGCTCAGCTGCACACTGGCTATAGTCTACTCATCTCTAAATGCTATGACTCAATCATCCTCATTATCATGTCATTGGTAAAGGTGCTTATCCCATTCGTCAAGGAAATGTTGTGAAGTACCAAATGTGGTGTCTACAGGGGAAAGTCAAGTATTTTATACAGTGAGATACTGTTAAAACCAGAACAAAGGCATAATCCTTTAACCTTGTGAGGTTGGCCAGGTTCTTCCTGTACACACCCTCTGCATATGACATGAGTCATGACCGTTTCTACTCATTTGAAATATTTTCATTTATTACCTGTAATTCTTCTTATGCACTTAATAAATAAAATTACTTAGACATAGATCAAAAGAGAAGTGTAATATATTATGAAGCCATTTCTCATTATTTTAATCTGTATTTCCTGTTAAATGTTTCTTTTTACTCTATAAGTTCAAAGTCTCTATAGATAATAGAAATTTCCTAAGAGAGGAAATTACATCTTTACCACTAAGGAAAAATTCAGCTTGTAGAAAGTGGATAGAGTTACTGAGTTTGAACCTGGAGTTGCTATGATGGTATAGGAAGCTTGCTTATAATTTTAAACTTTGAAAGATTTTCATTAGGATTTAACCGCATTCTTTGGAAAGTAGGGCAATTCCTGACAGTGCTAAGGAACATTATTGCATTTCATTATGAAAACACTAATACAACTTTTGAATATGTGTTGCAGATTTGGGGTCTAAATTATATACAGTACAGTTACCTAGTTTAAATCAATTTTCACTCCATTTCCAGTTAGATTTTGAAAGTTGTAGATAGTAGTATCATTTATACATTTCAATAAATATATTTCAAAATTATTTTAGGCCATTTTTTGACAAAATTCAAGTCAGATAATTTCATTTTATGGTGGAAAATTCATCTTCAGTAACAGAAAAATAACTGATGACTGAAAACATAATTTGGTATTTGTACTGTGTTTATTATAGGATATTACATTAACTTTGGTCCAAATTTAGCTTGGGGATTATTTTGGGGTTCAAGTTTTATTTAGAGTCAATAATATTAAAAAAATAAATGTTTGATTATGGTTTAAACTGATTTGCTAGGTGAAATTTTGTCATTTGTTCAGTGGTTCTACCATTCACATAGTCTTCCTTGTTAGAGTCCTTGGTATTATCTTTGACTTTTCCCTTCCTAGTAAAACCTAGTCCCTCACCAAATCCTATTGATGGTGTCTCCACATCTTTTACATCTATCACTTCCTCTATATTCCTACTGCTGTTCTACTACTAGAGGCCCTCATCACCACATCCTTGGTGCATTGCAGGGGCTTCCTAACAGGTCTTCCAGGCCTTCACCTTCCTATGTATCCTAAGTTCTATTACTAGAACAGTCTCTCCTAGAGATAGAGTTAGACCTAGACAGATAGATCATGTTCTGGAATCTTTACTGTTGCTTATTCCTTACTGAATAAAGCCTCTTTGCTCGACATTCAAGATCAATCATCTGTCACTGTCTAGTTTTATCTCATATTGTTGTTTTTGTTGTTGAGTCATTTTTCAGTCACATCCAACTCTTTGTGACCCCATTGGGGTTTTCTTGGTGAAGATACTGAAGTGGTTTTCCATTTCCTTCTCCATCTCATTTTCCAGATGGGGAAACTGAGGCAAACAGGGTTAAGTGACTTGTTCAGGGTTACACAACGAGTGAATGTCTGAGGCCAGATTTGAGCTCAGGAAGATGAGTCTTCCTGATTCTAGGTATTCTGTCTACTGCATCACCTCACTGCCCTTAATTCTCTTCCATACAATGTAACTATATTGCTCTCTATACCCTGACACACACTGCACTTTTCACCTGTTTCTTTGCTCAGGTGGTTTTGAATGCCTAGAATGTTCACCTTCCCCCCCTTAACCTTTGGAATTTTTCCCCATCCTTTAAACACAACTTAGATGATGCCTCCTTTAAGAAGCTTTCTTTTGAGTCTTCTGTTGTTAATGATCTTCTCTCTTGGACTTCAGAGGTAACTGTTTTGCACTTTTTAAAAATATACATGCTATATATCCAAAATGTTGTATATAAATTGTTTAATTTGAAAAGGCTACAAGTCAAGACTAAAATGAAGGGAGTGTTGGTGCATGATTTTTTGTTCACAGATGGTTGTGCACTCAGTGCAGCCTCTGAAGCTGAGATGAAACAAAGTATGGATTGATTTTCTGCTGTTTGTGCTAATTTTGGCCTAACACCACCAAGAAAACACAGGTTCTCCGTCAGCCAGCACCATACCATCCATATGTGGAACCATTGATTTTAGCAAACGGAGAAAATTTGAATACTGTGGATAAGTTCACTTAACTTGGTAGTATACTTTCCAGGGATGCACACATTAGATGATTAAGTTGACACATGCATTGCCAGAGCTAGCTTAGTATTTGGGAGACTCCAAAGGAAAGTGTGGGAGAGGAGAGGCATTAGACTGCCTATCAAACTGAAGGTCCACAGAACCATGTGCTAACCTTATTGTTGTATGCCTGTGAAACCTATACAGTCTAGGAGTGCCATGCCAGGAAACTGAATTGCTTCCTTTTGAATTGTCTTAGGAAGATTCTGAAGATCACCTGGCAAGATAAGGCACTGGACACTGAGGTCCTTTCTTGAGCTAAACTGTCGCTCATTCAAACTCTACTGCAGAGAGCGCACTTCCAATGGGCTAGCCATGTTGTCTGAATACCAAACATACAATTGCCTAAAAGACTATTTTATGGAGAACTCACACAAAGCAGGCATTCAGGTGGTGGTCAGAAGAAGCGATACAAGGCCACTCTCAAGGCCACTCTGAAGAACTTTGGAATCGGTTGTGTGACTTGGGAGATACTGACAAAGGACTACCTATCACACTTTGCTGGAATCAAAGAAGGTTCTGTGCTGTATGAGTGAAGCATAACAGCAGTAGGTCAAAAGAAACACGAGATGTGCAAATTTAGACTTTTCCACTCCAAATGTTCATGTGGACTATTTGTGCCCGACCTATGGTAGAGCCTTCTGAGTTTGTATTGGTTTGATCAGCCACAGTTAGATGTGCTGTACCTTGACTTCAACATTGTGATGTCATTTTGGTCCTCTCCAAGAAAGAAGGACAAAAAACAGACAACCAGCATCATTGTGTCACATGTGTGTATCTTATTCCTCTACTGAACTATATCGTATACTCCATTATGTCAGGAATCAGTTCTTATCTAAATTTGGTATTTCCTACATTGCCTAGCATAGCATTCAGCACACAGAAGGTACTTAATAAGTGATAGCTAAATTTGCTCTTTTCTCAATATTTTATAGGGATGCCTTTAGTGGACAAACCTGAAGCAAATATTAAAGCTGCCATAAAAGCCAACAAAAGAGTAAGTTCTGGTTCTACTCTGCATGATTAACCTTAATCTTTACTGGCTTAAGAAAAATTAAATTTAGATCATCACAGTATAAAGTGTAATGGGACATTATTAGCCATATAGGTTTGTAAATGTAGATATTTAGATGTATGTTTTCTTTAAATCTTACTACTGATCTGTGTTGACCACAGAATGCCTATGGTAGGCCATTATGCAACATTCTGCCGCACAGTGTCCTAGAATTACCATATGGTAAAATAATACAGAATAATGAATAAAATTGAATGAAAAAATCAAACTATTATTATTTTTGGAATATGACTTTAATATACATATATGTATGCATTTTCAGGTTGGGGTGTTATATTCATAATGTCATATGCATAAAGAGGTATCATTGAAAAATTTAATAGCTAACACAGCTAAAAATTGACTTTTCCTCAAGTACAAGTGGGGTGAAAAATGAATCATCAGTTATCTCAACAGGTGATCTGAATATAGATTCTTTTTATTAGCCTGTGTCAAGGAAATAATGTTTTAAAATAGTTGAAAATTTGTAAGGCAGTTTGTATATTTCATGTTGAAAAGATTAACATGAAGCTAGCTCCTGACATAATGATATCTTGAAAGGAATGAACTCTGTTTTTCTCTTCAAGTGGCAGTCTTACTATAGAGCACATTTGAAAGAATGTACAAGAGCACTTATTTAAATTCTGTTGTTTCAGATCTAAACTGACCCAATATGTTGGTGGCAGAAAAAAAGAAAGCTAAAGAATGAGCTTTAATGAACATTCTTTAGGGGAATTCTTCTTGGGGAATGGGGTGGGCAATGGGCAGATTGAATGGGAACAAGGGCCCCAGAAATAAAGTGATAGAAGACTATATGTATGGGGGTTGAGCATTCCTTTTTATTTAGAGTATACAGAACCTTAGCAATCCTGTTGTAATTGGGTTTGTACACTTTTAGCTTGTCATCTTCAAAAAGACATTGGAATTTTCGTGAGGGTTATGCTCTTGATGCTGTTTTTCTTTTGAAAGAAATTCAGTGTGGCAGAAGACTAGATGCTTTAAATAAAGTTATATTCTTGAGAGTAATGATGAAACTCAGGAAAAGAGGGAAGAAATGGGCAAAGGAAGAGAAAGGGGAAAGAGGATATGTTATTAGGGACTATATGTTCTATGCAATTTTCTTTGTAATTATTGTTAACAACAACAACAACAGCACAGTTTATAAGATCCACTCACTTGGGGAGAAGCCCAAGCATGAGCTATACATCAACACCTTGAGATCAGAAGATGGTTGGATTCAGTATCTGAAAATGGAAAGCTATCCAGTGTCCATTTGCTCTAGAGTGTGATTCTGAGCCCAAGCCTCTCAGCGTCTTCACTGCTGGATATCTCTTTTCTAGAATGGGAATTGGGATTAAGCCCAAGCAGGTACCTTTTAGATAAAAAACTCTTGACTGGATCTGAATATAACATCTCCAACTCTTCCTCCTCCAGCTTTGTCCACCTGCTGCTGCTACTCATTCTTTTTGGGTTCTGGAGCCGCACAAGCCACAAATGCACAGAAAATCACAAATTCCTATGAGCCCCTGATCCTTACCCCAGTGAAGATGCCAGAGGAGAAAGACCCAGGCCCCTCCACCATGTTGGTTACTATTGTGCCACCTTTCTCAGCCTCAGCTGACCTTTCCACCTGCACTCTCTCTTACCACCATATATTGAGCAGCCTGATTAAAGATAGACCAATCCTATTTCCACAGTTGGCATGGTTATAAGACATACTCAAGGTCTATTCATCAGCACATGAATACAAACAAGGAAGTTAGTAGGGGGTAATCCAGAGTTGGGATTTGGTAAAGCTTGTCTGGTGATGGGATAAAGACAAGAGCTAAAGGATTCAAAGTTAGCCAAAAATGTGTAGTTGAATTGGTCGATAAGGTCACTACTGTGAAGGGAAGGGAGGAAGACCAAAAGAGGGGTGATGGACTAGGAGATTGAATTGGAGTGTCACAGTGAGGGGGAAGGATAGATGTAGGATAGGTAAGGCAAAATGAAAGGTTTAGAATAAAGGATCAGTGTAAAGCAGGACTGTGTCTCTATGTCTATAAATGTACGTTGTCTTAGTTAGTCTAGGTTATGTGGCTGCTTTGTAGCAATAGCAATCTTATTATTAGGCATTTGCACTTAATTTTGATTAGGTTCTCTTAGCTTCTATTTAATAGTTGACTAAATAGCTTCATTATAGGTTCAATCTCATTAAATTTAGTAAGGTAGCTTTTAGTTTTCCATGCACAGTGGGTCTTAAGTCTGATTGAACTCAGTGATAATAAAAATCAAGTATCTATTATATAGTGGGGGATCATATTATTATTTTTCCTGCTCATAAAAATATGAGGTGACTCAGAGTGCAGGCTGGAGGGCTGTATTCTTAGCTGCATGAGATGAGGGTGTAGTAGCTGTTGTTGCCATCACAAGGTATTATCCTACTAGGGGGCAGTGTGACTGCCCTAGTTGCTGCTTCTAATGTCACCCTCAGTACTTCTAGGGGAAAAAGAGCCCGAGAAGCCACTGTCATCTCCAGTGATCACCTTCCGGTGGCATTTACTGTTACTGCTACCTCTTAGCTACTGTGTAGGAGATGGAGGATCACAAGGTGGGCTGGGTGTGCAGGCCTCTCTGGCCTCTGCACAAGATGTTTTGCTTCTTGGGTGAGCCCCCTTATTGCCCTCAAGTCCCTCCTTGTCTGTATCAGATGTCTTGTCTTTGGCTGAGGGTGGGAGTTGGGGAACAGAAGAGTGTCTCATGAGAGTGAGGAGATGCAGTAGCAAGGAACAAGAAGAAGACATAGAGGAAGAGGCCAGTGCAGGATGGCAGGAGCAGTCTTCTTTTTGCTGTGGTCTGCTATTCTAAGTTCCTTCTTCCTACTCTTGAATGGTGAGCTAACTGGCAAGAAACAACTGGAGATCACTGTCCCTGATAGGGTACTGAATGAAAACAACACCAACACCAACACCACCTGCCTTGAGGAGCTGTAGTCTGCATCACATCCCAAGGTAGTATCTCTGTGCAAGGAGGAGGAGCTGAGAGCCAAGTACAGAATTCTTGGATGTTCATCCAGGCCTTATTGAAAGAGCAAGTCAAATACCTGCAACGTATTATGTTGTGCTCCTTTGCTTACTTGTAGGTGAGGCAGTCCTAGAGAGTTCAACCAATTAAGGTCTTCCCTAGAATTCCTGGGTGCAGAGTGACTCCTCAGTATTGTGCCAGAGCTGCCTAGGTCTAATAGTGTCTGCAGTCACAGATGTTCTATTGTATGTGATTTAACTTCTTTTTTTGATTCTATGCAAAAGATAGAACCACATATACAGTTAATCACGTCCTGCCATTTGATATGGGGAAGCAACTCTATTATATTCCTGTCATGTGACTAGTACTCAGTGAAATATACACGTTTGAGGAGAAGGCAGGGTTTTCTTATTAAGCAAAAGTTCAGAGCTAACTGAATTGTTAAATCCATGCTAACCATGCTCTTTAGACCACCATGGCTACCCAAGAACCATAGAGAGCTTGGTTCTTCCTCAGGATTTCAACAGGGCAGAGGTATCAATATTGGATGCCTCTCTTCCTGATCCTTCCTGTTGAATGAATCAAGTTAATGACTTGTGAGGTCACCTGGTCATTAAAGTTGGGTCCAGACTGAAAGATTCAGGTAGGTAGAACAATTCCTAAGAAGTAGTAAATGATTTAGGTAGTTTGGGATCACTAATGTGTTCAGTAATTGAGGTACTGTCCCTAGAAACGCTAGAGAAATTTCTACCACTATTGCTGAGAGGTCAAAAAACATGTTTGTTGGCTTTGGTTTTTGAGTATCTGCCAGGCTGCATTCAGCATCTTTGTAAAAAGGTTTTTCAATCATATGCTTTTACTTTCCACCTGTTTCTCTCTCCAGGGTCCCACTTCTATACCTTGGCTTCCCATAATTGAGGCCAGAAATTTAAAGGAAATGGGAGGATGGTTAGGTTGGTTTGCTGCCATTCACACATTGAGTTGTTTGAATAGTTCCTTGTTTTATATGAATCATTAATTGCACTAATTATGGCCTTACCTTGAGAGAAGAAGGGAAATTTCCTGGGAAGCAGTTGGGAGAATAAGAGTCTTAAGAACTATTTAAAAATTTAAGAGCACTGCCAGCCTGGTGGGGTCAAAGCAAGACTCTTTTGATAGGGGAAATGAAAATGATTTCTCTAAACCTCACTGATGTCTGTTGTGATGCTTGTTTCCAGTACTTGTGCAGTGCCTGGTGCATAGTAGGCACTTCATAAATGCTGCTGATTGAAGTTAAAAGCACAATGATTTAATACAAAATTTCTAGATCATAGGTTTATGGTTGTATCTTGGTGGACATTTGATTTAATCCATGCTTGGATAAGAACCCCATCTAAAACATACCTGGCAAATTATCATTGAAGCTTTTGCTTGAAAACTCACAGAGAGGGCCCACCATAACTTACTCAGGCAGCCCTAATTGGATACCTCTAATTGTTAAGAGGTTTGTTCTGATTCCAGAGTTAAACTCACCTCTGCAGCTTTCAACAATTGCTTTGAATTCTGTCCTCTGGGGCTCCAAAGAATAAGTCTTTGCCCTCTTTCATATGAGAAGTCTTTAGATTCTTGAGGATAGCTACCCTGCCTGTTTCTCTTGAGTCTTCTTCATATTAAACCAAGAGTCGGCCAGGTGGTACAGTGGATAGAGTATGAGAGTTAGAGTCAGGGAGGCCTGAGTTCAAATCTGGTCTTAGACACTTCCCAGCTGTGTAATCCTAGGCAAATTGTTCAACTTTTCAGCCTCAGTTTCATCATCTATATAATGGAGAGAATAATAACACCTACTTTTCAGGGTTTTTGTAAGGATCAAGTGATGTAATATGTGTACAGTACTCTTCAAACCTTAAAATGCTTCTACTGTCTCTCTCCATACACACACACACACAACACACACACACACACACACACACACACGTATGTTGTGTATATGTGTCTATATATGTATATGCTAGCTACTATGACTACCATTATCATGAGTATTATTAAACATCTCCATTTTTTTTCAACTGATTCTCATATGGGATGATCTTGAGGCCTTTCATCAGCCTGGTTACATTCCTCTGGACACTCTCCACTCTCCACTCTAAAGTTTGGTGCCTAGAAAGCAACAATATTTCTGATGAGATCTACCTATGGCAGAGTATGGCAGGGCTGGCTGTATCAGGTCCCTTTTCTGGATGCTGTGCCACTTTTAAAGTAACCCAAGATCAAATTAGCGTTTTTGGTTGCCATGCCACACTTTCCATTTATTGAACTTGAAGTCCACAAAAGTCTTCACCATTCTTCTTCCATCTTATCCTTGGAAAGCTGATTTTTTTAGTTCAAATACATAACTTTATGTTTATCCCTATTGCATTTCTTCTCATTAACTATGGTCTAATGCACTGATGTGTCAAGATCTTTTGGGATCTTCACTCAAAATCACAGAATCAAGGAATTGCAGAGTAATAAGGCCTTTCAGAGGCTGAGTCCAACATGTACTAGAATGAGAATCCATGCTATGATATCCTAAGAAGATCATTATCCAGTCTTTGCTTGCAGACCTCCAGTGAGGGAGAACCTGTTCCTTCCTGAGGCGAGCCCTGTTGCATACTCATTGAAGGAAGTCTTTTCTTATACTATCCACATTTGCCTCTTTGCAACTTCCAATGCGTTTTTCCTTGTTATGCCCCATGAGCCTAGGCAGACCCTTTCTCATCAGTTTTCCAAATGACTGCCCTTCAAATATTTTGATGACCTCATATTTCCTCCTAAGTATTCTCTCCTTCAGGCTAAACATTTCCAGGTCCTTTAAACAATCTATATATGGCATGACCTAAAGCTGCTTTGCCATACTAGATCCTCTGAATGTTTTGCAACTTATCAATGTCCTTCCTAACTTGTGGGGCCCAGAACCCTGATCATACTTAGTACTTATCCTTATCATGTATGAATTAACTACTGATCTAATAATTTTGCCATTTCTACTTTTATCCAAGTTATTGATAAAAAGGTGAAACTGCATGGATCTAAGAACAGATCCCTATGGCTGCACTGGAGAACTTGCTTTGAGTTCATATCAAAATGACTACTCTTCAGAGAATTTTGGAAATCTCAGTGTATTTTTTAGAGGAAAAGAGTTCCCATTTTCCACTATATTATTGGGAAAGTTCTCTACGGGAAGAACTTTTTCTTTGTTATTACTACTGGCAGAGGAGCAGAGAAATATAGTGGATGAAGAGCTGGCTTAGAAGCCAGAGGGACCTGAGTTCAAGCAGACACACATTGGCTCTTTACCTATAGGCAAGTTACTAACCTCTCTGTACTCCAGGCCAGTGGTGTCATCTGAAATAGAAATGAATTCCTGGGGGGCAGCATATTGAATTAGAAAACCACAGATTAAAATTATCTCTGTTGCATTGTATTTTTATTTATTGTGTTAAACATTTCCCAATTAGATTAGGAAATTTTTCTGTCCTATGCAACTTGGCTCTTGACATTTTTGCTCTAGGCAACTCTGTAAGACTGTATGCTTCAGAGACAGTAATGACCTGCAGGTCATTAGAGGTAGCTTCCTCATCTGAGAATTTCCTATACCAATGAAATTACAAGTCCTGCTCCTATGCCTACTATCGCTAACATAAGTTACTTACACTTTATGATCAGATGCCTTGGAGCCTGCATTAATTGCTAAATTTGCTATTAATATGGAATTCATGTACTGTAACTCACTTAAGAATTCATTTAGCTTTAAATGCATCTTTCTCCAAAGATAAATATTATAACAGATCCCCTCTGCTGCCTTCTTGCCTCAGGCATAGAGTTATCTGGAAGAAGATGAGTGAACAGAAGAAGCCCAGGCTGTCTCCAATCTCATTTTGCTTTTCTTTTGGGTTTTCTTTTGCGTGGTGACATGCATCTCTTTACTGAAGGTGGCTTGTCTTCACTCTTATTGTCCTCACAAGTGCTTGGGGCATGTTGAAAAAGATCCAGTTGGCCTTGCAGCTTCCCTGTCCAGTTGTTCTTTTGTTTCATCCCATAGAGCCACTGAGGGGCAAGAACTTCTTAGGAAATCTGTAGCCTTGGGGTCTGAGAGACACCTACATGAGATCAAATTCCCCTCTCTGGTGATTGTTTCTTTTCATAAAGATATTATATTTTGTAACACATTTTATTGATGTCTTTTTTATATCACAATCATTTCCTGAATATGCCTCTGTAGAACCTTCCCTTAATAAGAAGCTAAACAACAGAGTGACTTTGTGTATGTAGTTTTCTGCACCTAGAATTCCCCACCTCTTTGTCAAAGGAAAGAATTGTGCTCCAGTAGATTGTTTTTAGCTTGGTTCCAATACATCTGGTTGCAGTGAAGCATTAGAGTTAACAAAAATATAATAGCTTATAGCAGCCACTACCTCTGGCTTTTCTAAATTTGCATGCAAAGGTCTACTTTGTCAGGGTACAATTTTGCTGGTAAAAGATGATTGTTTTTCCCATTTCTTTGCCATAAAAATTGATTTTTGAGACCAAAATGATGATCAAAAACAGTGATTTACACTGCTGAAATTTATTGTGCTATCCCTTCACCTTTCATTTGTCCATCATTCAGCACTTAAGCCAAATA